TGTTAGGCAGCCATCCCTACCATCCATCTCAAGAACTCTTTTCATCTTGAGAAACTGTATATCTCTTAAATAGTAACTCTTCATTCACTTTTCTTCCCAGCCTATTGTAAATACCATTCTACTTTTTACCTCTATGAATTTGACCACTCTAAGGTCCTCATATTGATATAATCATTCAGTTTTTGTCCTTTTGTGACTGGCTTCTCTATCTTAACAGAATGTCCTCAAGGTTCATTCATGTTGTATAGCAGGCATAAGAATTTTCTTTCTTTTAAAAGCTAAATAATATTCCATTTTATGTATGTACTACATTGTTGATCCATTTGTCTGTCCATGAACACTTGGGTTGCTTCAACAGTAATTATGATTTGCATTGTTAGCAACTTCTAAGACCTTTATGTTCTTAAAATCTTGGACTGTTACTATATTGAGTTAATGTATGGATCTTAATTATATACCTGTATTATTTCTGAGTAAAAGACTGCTGAAACATTAAGGGGTACTTTTTTTCTTATTTTCATATGCAAATTAGAAGGTTTATACATTTGAATTTCGTAACAAATGTTTTAATTTGGTCCACTTTGAGAAGTTCCACTGTAAGTGATATGTATAGATACATAACAAAATGTAAACGTTTCAGAGAAAGGGAATTTGTCTTCATGAAGACTAGGGTGTGATGGGCTTCTTTATAAGATTTCAAAAACAGCTTCAGTATGAGATACTGAACTGACAAAAAGGTAGAATTTGGTTTTCTGCCTACTTTTTAAAGTGGCAAATGTTTTTGTATAGTTGTAGTGCTGCCAATAAGTGATTGTAAAAAGTTATTTTATTTTATTTTATTTTTGGCCAGGCACAGTGGCTCGTGCCTATGATCCCAGCACTTTGGGAGGCTGAGATGGGCAGATCACCTAAGGTCACAAGTTTGAGAGCAGTCTGGCCAACATGGTAAAACCCTGTCTCTACAATAATATTAAAAAAAAAAAAGTAGCCAGGCATGATGGTGGGTACCTATAATCCCAGCTACTTGGGATGCTGAGACAGAAAAATGGCTTTAACCTGGGAGGTAGAGGTTGCAATGAGCCAAGATTGTGCCACTGCACTCCAGCCTGGGCTACAGAGCAAGACTTCATCTCAAAAAAAAAAAAAAAAAAAAAAGACAATTTAAACTGTGCAGTCTGCCTAGATAGCAGTTTGTGTTTTACCAAAATAATTTTCCATGTTTTATTTTAGTTTTATTATGTTCATGATTTTTTTTGAGACAGAGGTTTGCTGTGTCAAATCACCTGTCTACCATCATGCCTTTCAGATTCTAGACCTGTTGACTTCCAAAATGACATAGATAAATTCTTTGAAATAAGTCATACATATTTATGTAAAGTCTATTTCCTTAGAAAACCCTGACTGATACCCATTTTGGTACCAGGAAGTACAGAGATGCTTTAACAAATATAAAAAATGCTTTGGAATTATGTAATAAACAGAAGCTAAGTATTTCTGAGACACTAAATAGAAAACAGCTAGATAGCTGAAATTATTGGTATGAATATAGGTTGTAAAAGGCAATTGTGATGAAAGCTCAAATAAGTAATAATGATAGAGAATGCTTTCATTATTATTTTATTATTATAAAATACATGTATAATGAATAAGAAATTGCTAAAAATATGAATGATATATGTGCTTCTGGAGAAAGTTAACATGGAATTGCAGAACATAGAATTGGAAGATGGAAGGAAGGGATTCTTATCATGAAGTGGCAGGAAACTTGCCTCAACTGTGTTCTAACATTGAATGGAAAGTAGATTCTGTAAACAAAAACATGAATATTGAACTGAGGAGATTTCCCAGCAAATTGTGGAAGGTATGACCTTATTTATTCCTTGCAGCTTATAATAAAATGGAGAGAGAGAGAGAGGATGAAAGAAAAAAAGGAAAGAAAGAAAGAAAGAAAAAGAAAGATACAAAGAAAGAAAGATGATAGAAAGAGAAAGAAAGAAAAGGAAGGAAGGAGAAAGAAAGAGAAAGAGAGAGAAAGAAAGGGAGGGAGGGAGGGAAACTAAGGATGGAAATTTTAAATAAAAAGAACTAAAACTTGATAATTTGGAAAATTCTCAACCTCTCCAGATAGCCAAGATGAGCAAGCTTGAGCTTAGGAGAATGGCAAGGGTTTAGCTAGAAAACTTTTGCTAAAAAGATTATGTGTGTGACTCATGGATTCAATCAACCATCTGAGCAGAAGCCAGGAATAAAGATGAGTTATCCAAAAAAGATCTTTGGAAGATCCTCTTGTCTGATGGCTTGGACCCCATGAATTACACAGTAGACCAATAAGGTTTTTGAAAATGTTGTGTTGGCAGAAACACTGGTAACCTGGAATTAAAGAGATTATATAATATTCTAAATCTGAATTATAAACTTCATTCAGTGAAGTTTGATTCTGTTTTACTATATTTTTTTCTTCCAGTGTCTGTACTACTGCTTTTAGCTACTGTGAAATTTATTTCTGTTCTCTACTTAGGAATACTTATTATATTAGGAAAAATTATAGATGAATTTTTCTAGATGATTTTTTATATTGTTACAATTTGCCCCTTTCTGTCTTCTAACAATTAACTTTGGTAAAGTTGGAATTTATATATCACTATTATTCTCAATATTCTATTCATAATTATTTATTGTTAATTTTATGATTAATTGTATGATTCTTTTTAATCTGGTACTAATCCTGTTTCATTGACTATATGTTGCCTATAGTTTATTTGAGGCAGATTTCAAGCGTTCTATTAAGCGTTTATAAAATCACATGTCCCCTCATTTTACTCCCAGAGAGATGGACTCGGGTATTTGTTTCTGATGTTGTTGGGGAGGATGTAGAAGAGAATGGATGTTAGATAAGTGTGTTTCTAGATTATTGAAATACTTTATTGGTACTCAAAACCTGCATTTTCATTGTAGTCACTCTCCCATTAATATTACCTTATTTTAGAAATTATTATATTTTGCTGAACATTTTATTGGTTTTCAGTGTTTCTTCCTATAGTTCTTAAGGAATTTAGAGCGTGTTTTCAGTAACCTTCACAACTCTGATTCATCTATAGTTCCCAGTAAAATTGTGACAGTGCCAATATTACTTTTTACAAAAGCAATGAAAAAGAGCTGAAATGTGTCCTCACCATTTTCTAAACTGATTTATCTAAAAGCCACACAAATGAACACATATCCCAGAGAAGTCAAGTTTCCTGTAAGGGAAATCTGGCACTGACATATTATTCAATAAAACTAAGAATTTCCTAAGGCAACCTATCTAGAGCATTTCTCAAGAGGAGTACATTACCAACTGCTGAAAGAATCCTCTCCAAAGTAAACAAGTGCACAAAATCAAGAATAGCAATGGAAACATATCTATGGGTGCTTTGTTTTAAAGTCAGGATTAAATACAAAATCTTGCTTAAAGTATTTCAAGCATGTCTTTATGTATTCAGTTGCATATTATATTGCACCTTAGTTCCAATTTTGTTACTGATTTAGAAATGTAAAGATCATAGTTCTTATATTTATTTTTCAACATTTTTCTATTGAAAATATATTTGTTTAGCATGATTATATGTTTTAGTGTCAAATATTAAGAATCTAATTTTAAATAGGTAAATATTATTTTGAATATTTAAAAATATTAGAATACAAAAGCTGCTTTTTATTTATACCATTAAAATATCAAGTGTAATGAACTTTATTAACTGAGAAGAAACTGCAACAATAATTACAAAACAATGCTTTAAATTCAATTGGGAACAAAAGTATGCACATGTGTAAGATAGGTAGAGGATGAAAACAAAAGTGCAAAAATTTTTTGTGAAGTGTCTTAGTTTGGGCTGCTATAACAAATTATCATAGAGTGAGTAGCTTATAAACAATATAAATTGATTTCTCATAGTGCTGGAGGCTGGAAGCCAATGATCACAGTGCTAATATAGTGAGGTTCTGTTGAGAACCCTCCTTCAGGTTACAGACTGCTGTCCTTTCATTGTATTCTAACAGGGTGGAAAGAGAGTGAGAAAGTTTTCTGGAGTCTCTTATGTGAAGGCACTAATCCCATTCATTAGGACCCCAACCTCATGACTTAAATTTACCTCTATCTCTCAGTATAATAAAGCTTGGGGTAAGGATTTCAACATAAGAATTTGGGAGGGAAATAAACATTCAATCAATAACACAGAGCTTACCAAAAATGTGGTGAGTGTTATTTGACTATTTTTTGGGAATAAAATTGTAAATAATCTAAAAAATAAAATGCTTCTACATTCTCTCATTGATAAATGAGATATTTTCTAGACTATTTATGACACATTGAGTGTTCTTTGAAGAATCTATAATTGCATACAATAGGAGTTTGAATATTTTTGTTTCTCATCTTTAGTATGGAATTAGTAACATTTGATTTTTGTGAATATGTGCTTTTTGTATAAAACATAATATTGAGGACTCTTTCTATTATCCAGAAATTTCTGTCTAGATTCTGGAACTAAAGGAAAAGAGAGATATCACAAAAAATCAGCTTTCTCGGACATTGTTATAGAAGCATTTGAAACAGTTGTGCCACTTCAAAACATTGCCCCAACAGTTTGTTTCCCTCCCAGACCAACACAGACCATTAGTTTATGTAAGAAGAGTGAAAAAAAAAATCCTCAGGGTCATACGTTATCAACATAACCCAAGAGAAATGGAGAAATTCCAAGAAAATTATTTAGGGCACATGGGGTTAGGTTGCTTCATGTTAGGTGAGGCTATCATGTGCTCAGATAATGAACCTGTGATAGTTGCCTATGCAGATGTGAGCAGGCAGGAGACAAGACTGACATGGTTAGGTTCTTGGTATTTCTTCTCTGTCTTATTTAAAGTTATCCTGTTCTTTCTTTCCTTGCTCCACTGAGTTTAAATTTACAATGTGATGGTCACTTCTAAATTAATGAAAAAGATATATAAATAGCCATGACTAAAGGATCCTTTTGCAGTTCCTAAGTGTGATGATTAGGTTTTCACATTCGTGTGTGAGATGTACCTCCATCAAAAAGTTTCTGACATCTGCATATTACCCTTCTGATGTAAAAAAAGAAAAAAAGTACTAGAGGAAATACAGTTGTCTAGTAATATAGAAGTACACCTGGCCATCTCAAATCATGTAAAAAAATAGAGATTAATAAATCAGCTAAAGTTTACATTGTTTTTAATTCTCTACTCATATACCTGTCTCATACTTTTTGTCTTCACAAACATTATAAGTGACAAGTACATTTAGAGATGATTCCATTATTGTTTGCATAGAAACAGAAAGTGAGAATCTCATTATCAAGAGGATTTGTCACCCATTTGTTACAGAACTCTTACTAATCTAAGACTTACACATTATAACAAGCTATTTCCTACTACAAAATATATTTTCAAACAACTTCCTAGCTTTCAACCCTGACATGAAAGGAATCAAAAGAAAGAATATATCTTCTTATATCCTATTTTCTAGTCTTTTATTTTGTTTCATTTTTTCCTGAGTGCATGCTGGGCATGTGTCCTTTTTCACCTTTTAAGATTAAGTAAATTGAAAAAATGTCTTTTCTTAACAATGAGTTGAAACAAGAAATTAATTTTTCACTCTAACATGTAAATCTTCATCTTTTACTTTTAAAATTTATTTTTATTCTCTTGATTATGGGAATATAGATCATGGTATCTGCATGCATTGCATGAGATGCAATGAAAGAAATCATTTTCTTTGAATTGTGTCTCATATACTTTGATGTCAGTGAAAAGTCTTGTGCTCTTTTCCATATTTTGACTTTGCCATTTAAACAACACACAATTATAGTTCACAATTACAATAACAGGAGAAATAACATGATTCTTGCTGTGGTCATTGTTATTGTAGTGTTTTTCAATAACTTATCATTAAACTTGAGGATAAGCTTTGTATTTGTCTACATTTTATTTAACTTTCGATATGCTATGAAAACCCAGAAAGATGATAGATATTAACTTCTATCCATAGGAATTCCTTACATGGAAATAAATGGCTAATCAGAACAACAATCTATATGCATTGCATCCATAACTAGTGAAACTGTATATATTCTAGCTGACAATTTTGACCTACTGGATTCTAAGACTAAAAATGAACTGAGGTCAAAAATATATTATGCAAAATAGCACCATATATAGAACATTATCTCCAGTCCTTCATTTTACAAATAATAAAACAGAGGTTCAGAAATTTTAACGTTTTGTTTATAGTAAGAAAGTGCCTCAGAGAGCTCTAGGTTAGACTTCATTCACCTGGATGTTTGCCTAGTGGTTTTTCATTTCCATGCTCTCTCAAGTATACAGAAATCAAAGATAAATAGAGAATCAAAAAGGATTATAACCTACAGTGTCTCATAAATTACATTTATATTTCAGAAAGAAGAGATAAGTTAAAATGTAGATGCGAACAATTTCATGAAGCTATCTTTTCTCTAACTTTACAGAATAATATCACTGAATGTGAACTTCATCAACTTTATTTTCAGTCTTCAAACATATCTACACTACCGTTTATTATTTCCTTGTTTATTTTGGTTGCAACAGAATAGTTTCTTAGGTCTGTTGAAAGCAATAGCCTCCACTGTCCTCTGTGTCTCATCCACTAGAGAGAGTTTTCTCTGGACCCTCAATCTCTTTTCTGTACACTATTCATCTTTCCTTCTCTGGAAAATCACTGTTATGGTTCTTTGTATACATTTGAGCCTCTCTCACCATAAAGGAAGTCTTTGAACAACCTACTGTTCTCAACCATTCCATTAACTATCTAGCTCCCCTTCTTCACAGTCATTATGAAAGAACAGCATGTTTTTGCTGTCTACATCTTCACCACTCATTCACTCTTAAACTATTAGAATGTGATTGCACTAAACTCAAATTGCTCAGAAAGCATCAGTGGCTTCTTCATTATTACAATCAATAAACTGTTCTTAGTGGTGCCCTTTCTTGATTATGCTAGCATCTAATAATTTTTATCATTTCTTCTTCAAACTTTCTTCTTCACTGGCATAACTCATTCTGTAATTCTGGTTGACAATCTACTGTTTTGGTTTCTCCTTTTTTAATGTCTTTTTTGGAGGGCTCCACTTCTTCAACATGTGTGTTAAATATTGTTCACAGTTCTTTCCAAGGACTATTTTCATTTTACATTTCCTACATGCAGTTATTCATTACCATAGCGACTTCAATAATCATCTGATGACTTCAAATAAAACAGCTGTAATATTAATGCTGATGTTCAGACCTATGAATCTAGGAATTGTTTTCCATGTTCAGCTGTTTATTTTATAAACTGTATGAACTAGGATTCTAAAAATGAATACAATTTTCCCTTTTACAAAATGCTCCTATTATTGAGTGCCATCTTTCTATCCTCATCATTCACACCAGCCCTTTCCATCCCGATTCATATTAATCAATTACAGAGCCTCATTTTATCAGCTCCCATATATATTTTCTAAAAACATAGGATATTCATTTAATTCCCTAGATTAACTCAACAAACTTCTGAATAATTCCACTGTCTCTAGTCTTACTTCCAACTAATCCACATTTCACAGGGAGATCAGGATGATCTTTTTAAATGCAAATGTAACTGTGTAGTTCTGCTCCATAAAATCTTCCCATGAATCCCCACTGTGTTTAAGGTAAAAGCCATAGATAATAGCGATAGTTTGTTAGGCTTTTTTGACACTTATCTTTCCAGTTTACCTCTAATTGCTACCTCCTACTACAAAATAGAATTATTTTATAGATTTCTAAATGCTTCAAACTTGCTCTCAAGTCTCATTGCTTATAAGACCTGTTTGGAATACACTGTGCTCCTATCTTTCATAGCCTATAGCCCCTATGTGTTACTCTCACACACTGTAGTCCCTCATTTTTAGCTAGTAGTGTAACAGAGTATAATTAATGGCTTGTCTGTCAACTCTAAAACATATTGTTAGCTCCATGATGTCAGGACCATTCTTTTCTTGTTTTTTGTTACTTACCCCGAAACTAGCATAGTGCCTGGCAATCATAACAACTAAGTAAGCATTGGTAGCATAAGAGAATATTTGATCTTTACAGCAGCAGTCAGGTAATTCAAACTATATATTTTTTTTCTATTTTAGTTTGCCAAATGTGTTATGAAATATCCTTAGGAAATGAATCTATATGGTATCTGATAGTCTCAGTGCTACCATGTATTACTATCCTTCTCATGGGAAGTAGACCTGATTGTTCCTAATATTTTTAATCCATACTCTGCTGAGATTTCTGTGTCCAAGCTAATAAAAGGGATGTGCCTCTCTCTCATAAACAGTAAGAATGGTCAGTATCTGAAAGTCATATGTTGAGTTAATTTTCTTTTCTTTTCCTTCCTTTCTTTTTTTTTTAGACAGGGTCTCACTCTGTCAGCTGGGATGGAATGCAGTGCTGTAAATCTCAGCTAACTGCAACCTTGCCTCCCAGGCTCAAGTGATCCTACTTCCACCTCCTGAGTAGCTGGAACCACAGACACATGCCACCATGCTCAGCTAATTTTTCTGATTTTGAAGAGAGGGTGGTTCACCATGTTGCCTAGGTTAGTCTCGCCTGTGCTCAGGTGATCCACTCACATCAGCTTCCCAAAGAGCTGGGATTAAAGGTGTGAGCCACCATGCCTGGCCTCAAAAGTTAATTTTCATATAAATATTATATTGCAACAAAAAAAGCTGTTTATTCCAAATTTCTCTTTGAAAATTTTACTTAGTTTTTTCACATTAAGTTAACAAAAATCTATATATTTAGCATCTCTAAATGTAAATAAGAACATATGTGTGTGGTGGGGTAAGTGCAAGTCACCATGTTTCTTTAATTTCCACCCAAAATGAAAAAAATAAAATGTTTGACAAATCAGCCTCTAAACTAGCTTCCAACTACGAACCCCAAAAAACAATGTCTAGGGTCATCTTATATCAAATAACAGACAAGATCTTCTCTTCTTCATCCCCATCACTGAGTAAATGATCAAATCTGTAGTTCTGAGCTGTTTGGAAATCTAGTTTCCCACCTCAGGTGAAAGACCAAAGATTAAATATAATAAAGAGAATATCATCCTCTTGCTGTCTCACTGTATTGTTGGGATTTTAAAAAATAAAAATTTATCCTAATTCAGAAAGAACAGAGACATCCAATTTCATCATACCCTAGATAACACTAACCTTTTATTGGAAAGTCTTTTAGTTATGTCATTTTTATACTATGAAAATCTTTCACATACTATTAATTCAAGAACAGACAAGGAAAGCAAATTTGTGTTATTTCTTTCATACAATTATAAAAGTCATTCTCCAAAACAATATATCCTTTTTCTTTCAATTTTAATGAAAGAAAGCTCAGGATATTACAAATGCAGTAGTTTAATAATGTACAAAGTTATCTCTTTGATATCAAATATCATTCAGCAAATATTTATACAATACCTACTAAATTCCGGAAACTGTTAGATTGTTATGTTGTCAATTTAAAGAAATATTTGTTATCTATTGTGGGGTTTCAAGTCCAGAGGGAGAATGTAATGTGAAAACCAAATTACAGGATTGCAACTTGAAAAAAAATTTCAAGAAATACAGTAATAATAATTGTTGCTGACATTTATTGAACACTTACTAAACATCTTACTGAATGTATATGAAGTTGTGCTGCCATGTTTTAGTATAAAATTGTAGCAAAAAACAGTTGATAATTATAAAAATAGCACATATATTCTTCCATGATTGCTTTAATTTATAGCCACAGAAACATGCTTAAAGTGGATAAGTGATTTGCCCAATATTTTACAGGTTGTGAGTTGGCAAGACATAATTTTAGCCTTGGAAACTTGCTGTACAACCTCTATTAATAATTCAAATTACTTAAGTACTTAATTATTTTAACTTAATAAATTTATTTTCATCTGATCTTTTTCTTGTTAATAATTTGAAAGTTTTATATCAAGTTCGGAACTTCCTTTATTCTATTATCATTAAGTGTCTTCGACATAGTGATGATATTATTGCATTGCCTTTGTC